AGCTGCTCCACCCATTGGAAACCCCGGCCCTGTCATGTGCACGGAGGGTACAAGGAAACCCGGAAGGAGGGATGGGCGCGGGATGAGCAGGGCAGGTAGAGAGAGAGCACCAAAATTACCATGCATGCCTATGGAGTGTCCTCAGAACGCGCTGTCTGACTTGATTGACTTCCCTGGAGGAATCGGAAGAGCAGCGTTGACTTGATTGACTCCACGCGCCGATACTTGGAAAGAGACGCTGCAGTGGCAGTGGCAGTGGCACGGCAGAGGAAAGTAAAGGATTTGCAAAGGAAGGGAGCAAGTGCGGAGGGTAGGAAGGAAGGGTGGGGGAGGAGGGGTAGACAAGGGAAGAATCGCATGCTGTGGCAGGGAGGAAAACAGGAAGAAACGAGGTGTGAGCCAAGGTTTGAAGGGGTAGGAGACTCTGTTTCTCAAAGGAAGAAAGGAGTGCTCACGAGTCACGAGAAGCTTGTGGCGGTGGTGGTGGAAATCCCTCAAAAGAGCGTCGATGATTAGTAGCAGCAGCCGGGGATGGTGGGGGGGAAGGCAGACAGGGCAGGAGTACTCACGAGTGGTGAGCAGCGTGTGGCGGTGGTGGTGGAAGTCCCTCAGAAGAGCATCGATGATTAGGAGCAGCAGCCGGCACGATGCCAGTGACTGGCGATAGTGGGGGAGAAGGCAGGGCAGACAGGGCAGGCAGACAGGGCAGGCAGACAGGGCAGGACAGGGTAAGGCAGGGCCGGCGGCAGGGAACGACAGAAGGATGAGACAAGAGGAAAGATCAAAGGGGTCGGAACGGAAATAGTGCGTGGTGGTAAGGAGAGGCAGGATGTTTCAGGGCAGGTGAGAGGGAAGCTTTCATTAGGCCAGGTGGCGTGGAGTTGGAGGGAAGGGTGGCAAGCAGTCATGTTGACTGTGGAAAGGGAGGAAGTTGGAATGTCATGCAAGAGCTGCTTTTGGAGTCCGTATTCATATCCAATCATATCCAATCATATCCAATCATATCCAATCATAGCCAATCATATCCAATCATATCCAATCATATCCAATCATAGCCAATCATATCCAAACATATCCATCAACTCAACTCCACCACGATCACATCAAATCACAAGTTGACGCGCGAAAGCTGCTTACCTGACACACATGGCACGTGGCGTGCTTACCTGACACACATGGCACGTGGCGTGCTTACCTGGCACAAGGCCTCGTCAGCTGCAGCTTCCTCCTGCTCCGCATCCTCCGCTCTCCCTGCTTTCTTCCCCACCCCTCCATCCCCCTTTCCATATGCCTCCGTTCCGCCAGCTACTGCTCCCCCGTGTGACCCTCCAGCATCTCTTTCCACCGCACTCGACACCTCTCTATTGTCTTGTGATCTCAGCACCCTGGTAGTGACTGGCTGTACGCTGCTGCCTGCTCCAGGTGCCACCTTCACCAGCGATACCTCCCCTGAGCGCCCTGCAGCAACACGCTGATTGCAGCTTGAAATCACTTCTGCCGCATCCTTCACCATTTCCACTCCTTCCTCACTCTCTTTCACTTCCACACACTCCTCCACTTCCTCATCCCCGTTCACTTCTTCAATCTCTTTCATTTCCGCAGTTTCTTTCACTTTCTCACACTCTTTCGTTTTCTCACCCTCTTTCACTTCTACACACTCTTTCACGTCCCGACTTTCTTCCACTTCCAAAGCACTACACTGTACCGCACCACTCTCCACCACACTCCCCGTCACCTCCTCAATCTCACTCCCACTAACCTCCAGCACTTCATCATCACCCCCTTCCCCCACCATCTCCACCTCACTCACTCCCCCATCATCAGCACCCCCACTCACCCTCCCCTCGTTCTCCCCCTTCTCCCCCTCAGCAGCCCGCTTCCCCCGCACCCTCCGCCCAGCCGCACCTGCCCTTCCCCCCCTCCCCCGCCTCTTCTTCCCCCTCCCTCTACCCGCTCCCCTTGAAACCCGCACTTCCTCTACACCTTCCTCCTCTCCCCTTTCTTTCACGTCCTCTTCTCTCTCAACCCCTTCACTCCTCCCTTCGCTCACGTGCTGATCCTTCCTGGCAGCTTCCTCTTCTTTCTGTTCACCTTCCGCTTGCTTCTCTTCCTTTGTGCCCCCCTCCACTTCCGTGGCCTCCTCGCTTATCTTCTCCCCGCCCCTGCCAGCGTCCACATCAGCCTTCACGTCAGCATCCACGTCAGCCTCCACGTCAGCATCGTCTGCATCACTACTGCCTTGCTGCATAGCCGTCACTGCCTTGGCTGCTGCGGAGAAGAGACCTGCAAGGCTCTGCAAGCTCAAGAAGAGGAAACGAAGACACATGAGAGACACAGCATGTTCAAGAGATTCGGCATGAGACACACGTTTATGAAAGGGCTATAAGGAAACTGAAACTGGAAATCTCATGTCCCTTCTTTCCTTTATTTCCGGATTAAGAGCTTCAGTAGAAGCTCAAGAGTCAGGAGGGACTTGGGAAGGGGAAGCAGGGCTTAGGTGGCGCACCATGCGCCTGTGGGATGCTGTGGGGGCGTCGTATCCGATGTTGGGCTGCCACGCCTGTCATGATGCCATGCCATGCCACGCCATGCCATGCCACGCCATGCCATGCCACGCCATGCCACGCCATGCCATGCCACGCCATGCCACGCCATGCCATGCCACGCCATGCCACGCCATGCCATGCCACGCCATGCCATGCCATGCCCCATGCCATACCCCATGCCATGCCATGCCATTGCATGCAATCCCATGCCATGCCCGCAGGAGACAGGCCGATGGGGGGGAGACAAGCGGATGAGACACCATGGTGATGCACATATGCATGTAACAAAGTTACAGTTCTCCCACTCCCTCATCTCGCGCCCCTCATCTCTCTCTCCTCACTCCATTCCCCTCACTTCTTCTTGCACCTCAACCCACTCCCCTCACCCCTCTCCGCCCACCACTCTCCCCTCACTCCCCCCACCCCTCGCCCTCACCTCCACCTCTCGCCCCTCACCTCAATCCCCCCGGAGGCCTCAGTGAGTGCAAGCAGGGAGGCAGCGCGCCACACCAGCAGGCCCTCCTTGGAGCTGCCCCCAACCCTCTCACTTCACCCCCCTCCTCCCACCTCGCTCCCCCTCCACCCTTCTTCCCTCACCTCCTTGCCCCCGAAGGCCTCAGTGAGTGCGAGCAGGGAGTCAGCGCGCCACACCAGCAGCTCCACCTTGGAGCTGCACTTACCCACACCCCCTACTGTCCCACACATCTCCCCCAACCCCTCGCCCCCCACCCCCTTCCCCTCACCTCGTTTCCCCCGGAGGCCTCAGTGAGTGCGAGCAGCGAGGCAGCGCGCCACACCAGCAGCCCCTCCTTGGAGCTGCGCTCACCCCTCTCACCCGGCCCCTCTCCCCCCACCCCTCGCCCTCACCTCGTTCCCCCCGGAGGACTCCGTGAGTGCGAGTAGGGAGGCAGCGCGCCACACCAGCAGGCCCTCCTTGGAGCTGCGCACCACCTGAGCCATGCTCTGCCGCAGACCCCTGGTGGACAGATGAAAACATACTCGTTACAAGATGACCCGAGTCAGCTCTGCATCACCTAGGACATGCAAGCAATTCACCTGAGAGTCATTCACCTGAGAGGGATTCACCTGAAAGCCATCCAGGCTGGAACAACAATGCCATAAAAAAAGAATACGTATTTTTCATTAAGCTATAAGGCAATCAAGGGAAGCGTCATCATCAGATAACAAAAAAAAACAAAAATCATAGAAGGAACGAATGCACGCATGCGGAAGGAGGCACCTCACCTGGGAATGTGTGGAGCGAGCGGATGGTGGGTGAGCTCTGACATTGCGAACAGGAAATACTTTACAGGCGCATGTGCTTGCATGCGCGCATGGAGTGCATGGAGTGCATGGAGTGCATGGAGTGCATGGAGTGCATGGAGTGCATGGAGTGCATGGAGTGCATGGAGTGCATGGAGTGCATGGAGTGCATGGAGTGCATGGAGTGCATGGAGTGCATGGAGTGCATGGAGTGCATGGAGTGCATGGAGTGCATGGAGTGCATGGAGTGCATGGAGTGCATGGAGTGCATGGAGTGCATGGAGTGCATGGAGTGCACGCATGCGGAAGGAGGCACCTCACCTGGGTATGTGTGGAGCGAGCGGATGGTGGGTGAGCTCTGACATTGCGAACAGGAAATATGCCACTGTTGGGGGAAAGACGTAATGGGGGAACAGGGGTACAGACGGAACATGGAAATGGAAACAGGGAAAAAGGGGAAAGGGGACAGGGGGAACACGGGAAGGAGAAATGCGGAACAGAGGAAGGGGGAAAAGGGAAATGTTGAAAGGGATAAGGAACCAGGAATAACAAGATTTAACATCATGGGGTGACGTTCAGTCAAGTCACCAACACGCTGCTGGACGGAAGCGTGTTTTGAGACGTCTCAAAACACGTTCAGTCGAGTCACCAACACGCTGCTGGACGGAAGAAGAGACCTCAGAGGCGCACAGACAACTTCCACACTTAATTGAAACATCAGACCGAAATAAGCATCACGCTGACTGCTGCTAACCAGCACTAGCTGACCGCTACCCAACAATATGACTGTTACCGAGCACTAGCTGATCGTTAGACTGCACCGACTGACCGTTGGCCAACACTAACTGACCGTCAGCAGCACTGACTGACCGTTAGCCAGGGCGGTGACGGAGTCGTCAGCGAGGTCGGCGTGGTGGCGGATGAACGTCTCGATCGACTTTTGAGGTGCCTCAATGCAGCACTAACGGACCGTTACCCCAGCACTACTAACTGACCGTTGGCCAATGCAGTGACGGAGTCGTCGGCGAGATCCGCGTGGTGGCGGATGAACGTCTCGATGGACTCCACCAGCTCGCCCGGCATCATGCCGCCCTGCTCGCCGCTCGCGTCGCCGTAGTCATTCCTGATACTGTCGCCTTCACCTCCCGTCGGAATGCGGCCAGAACGCAAGCGTGCGGGCTTGCCTACCATCGTGAAAAGTTCCTGGCAGAATGTGGTTAGGTTTTCGAGTCCGTCACGATTCCAGGCAGAACGTTGGTTGATATTCGCAGCGCAGGCGCGGACGAGGATTCTAAGGATTTCTTCGCGTTGCGCTTTGGATGAGTGGCAGTTGTTGATAGACTGGCGTCCGTACGATATATGCGGAGCTTCACGCGCTACTTCCAGGCGGCGCGCTCATCACATTGCGTTAGTGGCTTCCGCGTCCACGTGTCCTAAAATACGCACGACAAGTGTGTATCAGGAGATGGAGCGGATATAATCACGTGGTTGTTTATAGGACTTCCCTGAAATACAAGTTGTAGAAGAATGTGCACGCAGGGAGAGGCAATATGGTGGACCAGCACCCAATTCCAGCAAATGTTATCCCCCAGATATCCTATAGGGAAGTGGCCGAAACCTGAAACGAAATACTGAAGTGGCCATTGAACTGTATCAATTGAAACGCTACCCTATCGCGCGACTCAGAAATGAGGATAACAGAATTTGCTAGGGCCCAAATTCATGCCCCGCTTGCTCCTCCCACCATTTCCATACCATCCCATTCATCCTGAAGTGGCCCAGTCAAGTTAGTGATGTAAAGGACTCTCCTCTACTTTGCAGGAACTGGGATTTGTACTAATCACTAGAGCACACTCTTGGCTTTCCAAGGAGCCGTAGAACACGTAATTCGCCCAAGTATCGGCTGAGATACGGCTTTCAACGTGCTAGGTAGTGCTCTAAGATTGAAGGATAGAAAGTCTCTGGATTTTGTGTCGAGTTGAACCGTGTATAGAAAACTCTGATTTTCAGTATGAAACATGCATACAAAGCAACTAGTTTTATATCATGCAATCAACATCGAACCGCGTTCGTAACATCGCATCGCTACACTTCGCGAATGTTCTCGTAACATTTCGAAGTGGTGAAATTCGACACTCGAATTTCACTCATCCGAATGTTCCTTCAAGTCTCGAACTTTCTGGTTCTGCCATGTGGCACCGAATTGGTTGAGTCTTCCGAAGTCAATCTTCAGCCCCACGCCAACCTGCAGCTCACTCGAAGGTGAGAAGCAAAAGCAGCACCGTTCGGTGGTTGGGGGCAAAACCTAGCCCCACACAACCTCCAACACTCCCCCTTGCACCCAAGCCACTAGGTGCTCAATCCAACACGCTCACAGCATGCACGGAATGAATCCTTAGGGAGTGGTTTAGTGAGGAAGTCCGCGGGTTGGACTTTGGTGCTTATGTAAGTGAGTTTGACCTCACCCTTCTCAACTGCCTCACGAATGAAGTGATGCTTCACTTCGATATGCTTGGTTCGCCCATGAAGGACCGCGTTGTGAGAGAGGCTTATGGCGGCTTGGTTGTCACAAAAGAGAGGAGTTGGGTTCGTTTGAGGATGCCCAAGCTCTGCTAGAAGACGTCGTAGCCATATCGCCTCCATGGCACCTTGAGTGAGTGCCATATACTCCGCTTCCGTTGAGCTTAGAGCCACGGTTGGTTGCTTCTTGCTTTGCCAACTCACGGCCGCCCCAAGCAAGGTGAAGACATACCCGGAGGTACTCTTGCGCGTGCTCGGATCTCCCGCATAGTCCGAGTCGGCATAGCCCTTGAGTTCAATCGGGCCGGCTTCATACACGAGCCCCAAGTTAGGTGTGCCTTGGAGGTAGCGTAGAACGCGTCCTCCCGCGCGCACATGCTCGGTATGAGGGTTGCTCACGACTCGTCCAAGCACCCCGGCGGCGTATGCGAGGTCGGGACGAGTAGAAACGGCGGCATACATGAGCGAGCCCACTAGCGAATGAAACCGCTTCCCTTCGGCTTCATCGAGGGTGGATTCTTCCTCTTCCGTGAGGCAAGAGAACCCCGTAGCTAGTGGTGTTCCCACCGGTTTGCTATTGCCCATGCCGAAGCTCTCCACTACCCCCTTCACATACTTCTCTTGGTGGAGGTGGATGGTCCCGTTGGCTCGGTCACGGTCAACGTGCATCCCAAGGTAGTACGTGACCGGCCCCAAGTCCCTCATAGCAAACTCCGCCCCTAGCCGTTGCTTGACCTCCCGAATGAGGTCTTTGGAGTCGGAGAAGAGGAGTAAGTCATCGACGTAGAGTAAAAGCACCAATTGCTTCTCCCCCTCCTCCAACACGTACAAAGCGCTATCGCACTCGCTACGCGCGAAGCCGTGTTGAAGAAGAAAGTCGTCGATGCGCTTGTACCATCCGCGTGGACTTTGCTTCAAGCCGTAAAGGGTACGCTTGAGCTTCCACACCCTTCCGCTACCGTCATCGTACCCCGGGGGTTGCCGCATGTAGACTTCTTCTATAAGAAGCCCGTAGAGGAAGGCGGTGCAAACGTCCAATTGCTCCACCTCGAGATTGAGGGATGCCGCTAACGCGAGCAACACCCGAAGAGTTGTAGCCTTAGCGACGGGAGCGAAAGTCTCGCTATAGTGCTCCCCCTCCCGTTGAGTGTATCCTTGAGCTAGAAGCCTCGCCTTGTAGCATTCGACACTCCCATCGGCTCCCAACTTCTTCGTAAGCACCCATTTGCACCCCACCAAGTAGGCACCCTTCGGCGGGTCGACGAGCTCGAACACATCGTTCTCCTTGATCGATGCTAGCTCCTTCTCCATCGCTTGCTTCCATAGAGGTGCATCCGGAGAAGCCAAAGCCTCCGCGTGGGTGCGAGGGTCATCTCCCATGGTTGCGAAGCAATATGCCGCACGCTCCTCATCCAACTCCCCAACGGCTACCGTAGCGTAGTCGGCTAACTTCGTGTTGGGGCGAGGTGTACGACGCCCACGGGTCAACGCCAATGGTAGGGAAGAAGGTGCGGAGGGAGTTGCCTCCTCGGTCGGTGGCACCTCCACGACATCGTCATCGCTCTCCTCGTTCTCTCCCCCTCCACTTTCGGCTTCATTGTCCACTTGTGATGGAACCTCCACCGCCTCATCCTCCTCTCGTGCGGGAAGTACGACGGTGTGTTGCGGCATTGGTGGTTCCTTCGACGGAAACTTGTCTTCGTCGAAGACCATGTCTCGAGATGTGACGACGCGCCTTTCACCCAAGTCCCACACTCGCCACGCACGCTCGTTTGCCGCAATTCCCAAGTAGATTGCCGCACGAGCCTTCGGTTGCAACTTGTGACGAAGGGGATCCGGGACATGGTAGTAGCAAAGGCACCCAAAGGTGCGAAGGCGGGATAGGTTCGGCTTCGTTCCGGTCCATGCTTCGAACGGAGTCGTTCCCGGGAGCACCCTCATCGGCAAACGGTTGCGAATCCACGCCGCTAGCGAACTCGCCTCGCCCCACCACTCGCTCCCAAGCTTGGAGTGTTGAAGAAGAGAACGAACGGCTTCCACCAAAGTGCGATTAAGCCGCTCCGCCGCTCCATTTTGTTGGGGTGTGTAGGGTGTTGTGACGTCGTGCTTAATGCCCTTGCACTTCATCCATTTCTCGAGCTCCGCATTCACGAATTCGCCACCACCATCGGTGCGAATACACTTGATCCGCTTCTTGTCGTCGTCGCAAACTTCGAGCGCCCACTCTTGAATCGCCTTGGTCGCATCTCCCTTAGCCTTCAAGAGTCGGGTCCAACACACCCGCGTCGCGTCGTCGAGCATCACCAAGAGGAACCGCGCTCCTCCCTTTGATGCATGCCGCATCGGTCCACACACGTCCATGTGAACAAGCGCAAGCGGGTCCTTAGCGAGGGGAGAGGTACGGCTACCAAATGGCTTGCGAGCCATTTTTCCTTCGACACACGCCGCGCACACGCCCTTCTCGTCGTCGCCGGCGATCACGTCGACTCCCTTCGCTAGTCCTTTGTTGGCCAACGCCTTGACCGATTCGTAGTTGGCGTGCGCAAGCCGATTATGCCACGCATGGAGAGTCGCCTTGGACCCTTGCGCCACGTTGGAGGAAGCCGCTCTCGGGTGCGTCTTGAGTTGGTAGAGTTCTCCGTTGAGAACGCCTTGTGCGAATTGCTTCCCCTTCCAAATGAGGTTCATCGTCGCGCCATCGATGGTGAACTTCACATCCTTCTTCGCGAGTTGAGTGACGGAGAGTAGATTCACCTTCAACCCCGGGACGTGAAGCACATTCATGATGTCCACCGGTCCGCCATCGACGATGAGACGCGTACTCCCAACTCCGACCACCGGTAGCGACTTGTTGTTTCCGAAGACGACACGCGTGACGTCTCCCGGTGCACCAACGTTGGTGAGGAACGATGCCGAGTGCGTCATGTGTTGCGTTGCGCCGGTGTCGAGGAACCACGCGTCGCTTGGAGTGTTGGTCCCGTCACCGGCCAATAACACGATCGACTCCCTTGTATCATCCGCCTCGCCGGATGCCGTGTGCGCGTTGCCCTCGTGGTTCCGCGCCTTCGATGGAGTCCAATCGCTCGGCCGCTTCCGACACTCTCGCCAAAAGTGTCCCGCTTTGCCGCAATAGTGGCACTTGCTCGCGCCATTCGATGTGTTTCCCTTGCCGCGATCGCTTCCACCGTACGACTTCTTCGTCGCACCCTTGCTCCACTTGGACTTTCCTCCGGAACTCCCTCCGGAGAACATGGCGGTCTCCACGTTCTCATTAGCGAATTGTCGGCGACGCGATTCTTCATGGAGAAGCCGACCGACCACCATTTTCTTCGTCCAAGTGTCTTGCATGCTATCGAGTGTCGTAATCACCGTCGACCACTCTTCCGGAAGGCCGCATAGCAAGGTCAAAATCCAATCCTCCTCCGTGACCGTTCCACCGAGGTCCATGAACGTTTCCCCGAGTTCCTCCACACGAGTCGCATACTCGTGCATCGATTCGCCCGCGCGCATCTTCACCGTGTAGAACGCGTTCCGGGCTAGGATCTTGCCGTGGAGAGTCTTGTTCACGTGGATGGTCTCAAGCCGCTTCCACGCTTCATGCGCCGACGCTTCGAGCTTGATGCACATGCGCACCGAACTCACGAGGTTGATGCCGATGCGCGAAATCAACG